CTGTCACGTTGTCACCCTCTTTTATATACCAGACTACCCTATATCTAGTAAATACTAGAGCATTCGCCAAAGTACAGGATAGTTCTAGAAAAGTGGCGTCACAGTAGTCATGTGACTCGCTGACGCAACAATACCATGAATTCCACATGCATTAGACTAGGGCTAATGCAGTCATATTTACATGAAATGTGTGCATGTGTGTAAAATAAACAATTACAAATTTCATTATTATAATTTGAAAACATATTACCTGTTGTTTTTTCTTTAAAATCATTAAATACTTGCTTTAACTTAATTTTTGTTTATCAACATTAGGCTAATCCATCCTAAGCTTAATGTACAAACAAGCGTGAGTTCTGCTTTTAAATTATTGTGTCATATTTATAACACTTCCTAATCTCCATGATTACTTTCACTGAAATAAAAACACTTATTTTTTAATGCTAAGTTTCACTGATACAAAACAGCTGTGTTTGGACAATTCATTAATACAATATAAATCAGCTGTGTTTGGGTAAAATCACTCAAATCGTCCACTTAGAAATCTGAGGCCAGGTGTTTCAAATGGCAGATAGCAGTTTGATTTAATTTGAATTTCACAAAAAGCTATCTGCACTAGGTGTCCCTAATTTAGAAGTGATAAACTAGAGGGAAAGCAGCTAGTAAACACCACTAAATGCCAACTCTGGGCTACTCTTTTACCAATGAATAGTGGAATTGGCCATCACATTATAATGACCCCCTCGCTGAAAGAGCGAGCATGTTCAGTGACAGGGATTCAAACCTGTGACCCTAAGATTGCGAGTCAAGCACCCTAACCACCAGGCCAGCAGACAGCAATGTAGTTGTTTTGATTGCTTTGGATATGTTGACTGGATAATCTGCCCAGAGATATTAAGTTTCTATGCATACTTAATTGAATAATATTATTTTCAATATATAAGGATTACTAGTCTATCGCATATGATGATTGGTTAACCTGTTCTGTGTCACATATGCTGCAAGAAATCATATTATTTTTAAGTTTTATAATACAGTGGAAGTTGTTTTTGCAATGAATATCGATATGTACATATTTGCAATATGTAATAATTTAGCATTAAAGTGAAAAAATAAAATAGTTTGGCTAGTAGAATTTCAGTTCGGGATAGTACATAAAAAAATTACACCCCTGAAAATTCAAATGTTAATTACATACAAAATGGTTCAGTCTAATTTATACTGTGTTTATACATTTCGTAATGATATTGTATACAAGTGGTAATTTACGCATTTTGTAAATTAAATTTTTAGGCAATACAATTTTATAAATTTCTATATCACTCTTTAAGATTGTCCTTTTGAAAAAATACATCCTCCTCAGTGGGTCAGCAATAAGTTTGCAAACTTACGATGTTAAAATCAGGGGTTCAATTCCCTGTAGTGGACAGAGGGCAAATAACTCATTATATAGTTTTGCATTAAAAACTAACAATTGAAAAATATTAAATTTATTTAAAGACATAGTAAGTTATAAGTATTTTCATACAGTGTTTTAGTCAAACTTATATATATACATATACAAAAAAAACACTAACTGTTTTACTTTTTTTACAGTACTAAACAATTCACAATGTATTTTTGAGGCTGAAAGAAATATATTTCATTTCCTTTATTGTGCTTCGTACAGTTTGGTTTCTTTCTAACAATGGTTATCATTTTGGTATATATATTTTAATGATACTTAAAATCTTCCGTAGACGATTTGAAAACAATTGGAAACTTTATCTATCAGTGACCTGTGCAGTTAATAACCATCACGTTCACCAGATGGGGAAACCATAGCATTAGGTCTACTTGTTGTAGTGGTTGGTGAGATCATTCCATGCTCATGAAGCTCTAGTTTAAAAAAAAATCTATATTCAAAATTTAACTTTGAAAATTAAAAAAAAACAAAAAACAACTAAGTTCTCTCTGTCTGAGAAACTATTATATAGTATTAGATATAATGATTAATCTAATTTTATTAATGAATACAAACTTAATTTTGATCTCTATATCTAATACATTAAACGAGTATAAATAATCTTACATACATTACTTCTCAAACGTCACCTAGTAGTCATATAAAGAATTAACTTTTAATTATAGTGTTACTAAAAGGTGAAAGAAGTCTATATACATATATGTGTGTTAAACTAAAGTACACATAAAACAAGAATACATTAGGTACATACACACCTACTAAATGACCACGTTTTTTATCTCCCACACACTGACAGAAAATATGAGGTAGTTTGAGTTGTTAAGAAGTTCTTTTACTAGAAATTGAATTTTTTAGTAATTAGCTCTGGTATCCATATTGTTACGACAGTGGAAGTCACGTGACGCTGGTAACACGTGATGAGTTTCTAGAAGGATCATGAAGGCCCGAGTGAATTCGGGACGCCCTCCTTTTAATATATTGTTGCGTCAGCGAGGTCACGTGACTAGTATCACGCCACCTGTTTTCTAGAAATATCCTGTTCCTTCAAGAATGCCCTAGCATGGTGTGGTAATATTCTTATGGTTGGAAATGAGATGCATATTTCTTTAGGAGAATGAATAATATTCAAAGCCAAACCTAAACATCATTGCTCATCCTATTGTATTTCAATCAGTAGAGGCATTCTTAATTAAAAGGTGTAAGTCAGTGTATATGATACTTCTCACCTTGAATATCCCATATTGTAACAGGTAAGCCAAATTCATTGTTCACATCTTCCAGCACATTAGTCAAAGGCAGAAGCTGGCAACGAATAACTTCTCTTAAAGTCCTAGATTCTCTGAGCTTTAATTTATTTTGGGAGGTATATAATAACAAAATAATGTTTTAAACTTCTATGTTTCCATATACATGACAAATAATTATAAACCAAGAAAAAAAAGGAGATGAAAACTTTGATGGTAATATAAATGAACAAGCAAAAAATGATACATGAATGTATTGAGAAAGAAATAGTTAATTGATGAAAGTTGCATGTGGAAAAAAATTGTACTGCACATAGGAATTATTTACAATCAGTTTTAGGACAAACATTTTTGGATGAAAATGTTAAAAAGTTGGTGTGGATGGTGGGAAAATTTAAATGTTACAGGTGTAATTTTTGCCTTTACAACACTCAGTGTGAAAAAAAAAGAAGCACAATTTGGTTAAATCACGTTATAGTCTATGTAGAACGTAACAAATAAAGTAATGGATCTAAAAACAATTTGCCAAATAAATAATTTTGAAAATCTGGTTAAAAAAGCTGATGTTGTACATCATGTTAGTCATTCTCTGGTTAAAGGTTAAATGCTAACAAATGTGAGAACAAATTTTAAGTAATTTTTCTTCCATGAGTTCCAAACATTTATCATTAATGGGATTTAAAAGTATTTGTAAAAATACCCCAAATAATTACATTTCCTTGAATTCTAGCATTTAAGCAATATTTTTTTCATTTAATGCATCTGAGAAAATTCATGATGAAGAAGAAGACTACTAGTCTCAAAAAGATTGGGGGGAAACATACTTTAATTTTTAGTTTTTTCAACTGAGGAACATTTTTAAAGGAAATATAATAAGCATGATTTTAATTTTACCCAAGTCTTTGTTTCTTTTTCAATATTGTAGTTTTAAACCTTCATGCTATTTCTACAGTACATTATAAACTTTACATAATTATTTATACTCTTAATGATGGTCTGGGTAGTGTCTGAGAAAAGAAAATCATCTTATCTCTAAGCCTTGTTTTGAAATGTTTTAGTGATCATCAGTGATCTTTCAATTTCAAAATAATTAGTAACTTAAACGTATCAAGCCACTGAGAATTAAATTACTTGAATAATTCCGTCTTTATCCCAAACATGCACATGTGTGGATTCTAATTGATGTTTTGTAATTATAGAGTTTTTATCTTTTCGGTATTACTGCCTGACAAATGATTAAAATTTTGTACTAATATATTTTTCATTGCCTCAGAAAATTCTTCAGCAGGAAACTTGCTTCAGCCAATTGTTTTTGTTGCTGTATATAAGTTATCCTCAACTGGCATTTGCTATGAAGATTTTCATAATGAAGAAAAAGCTTTCCATCATCAATCTTTTGAGAAATCAATTTTGGAATGATATTTTGCCATGAAGTTGGTGAAATGTTGCTTTTTGAAGTTTATTTAAAGTAATAATATACTCTTATCTTTCTTAGCATAGGTTTGTTTATAAACTTTTAAGCAGGGGCATAGGTTTTTTTCACAGATGTTTTTAAAACTAGAAAGTTATATGTTATTTATTTTCAACAATCATTTGCAAATATTAGCTTCTCTTATATTGAGAAACTTTTGTAGTGGTGTAGTATTCACATGTGAACTGATTTCCACAAAAATATTAGACTTACTAACAATAGGGTGAAACAAGAAATTTGGGAGCAATCTGAATCTCAAGACTCAAATGAGTTTCAAACTGCATAAGTTATAAGCAGGTTGGACACATTTCATATGGACAGAGAGAATAATCTTCACTACAGAGACAAAAAGTACAGTGTGGGTGCCTGTGTAGACAAGTGGATGATCAGATCATCAGCTTTACGTCTTTCAAGATGTCAAATTAGTCACAATGAAAATCAAATAAAACTCTGAGAAACTAAAGCTCCATACTGAAAAAGATACCTTGGTTTGAGTTTGCAATAGTGTCACTGTGAACCAACCTTTCTCTTATAGCATTCTTGCTGTAACATACAAATATTATTCACTCAACCAACAAAGGACGTTGCAGTGATTGATCCTTTCAACAGCATGTACCACACAACCCCTTTGGTGGCCAATCATGATGTTCACTGAAAGTGTGAGCCAACTAATGCTGTCAGGGAACAGAGGTCACAAAGTGACACCATCCACTGGACAAAGAAAGCAAGTTTACATTCTATATTTGATCATGCTTTCTTGAATCAGTTCTCTACTAGATGATCAACAAGACGTAGATCATTGTATTTAATTCTTTGAGACAAGAAACTTAAGAACTAAACGCAATCTTGTGGAGAAAGGACTGTCTGCTCATTTGTATCGGTACACAGGCTACATTTTGTTTTATTTGCATAATAAAGATTTTTGTATATGTTTAATAAGTTGTCCACACTCATTAATTCCACATCTAAAAAGGAAAACTCTATATTCCTGAGTTGACTTGCTGTTATCCGAGAGTTAATTTATTAAATGTTTGCCAGGAAATTAGGTTAGCTGAGAATACCATACCATGCTTGCACCTTTGTTAATATACTAAAATAGAGAAGAATAGAATAAACAATAAATATAATAAGAATTAACATTTCTTCACAAATCAAAATTAACCTTCATGTCCAGTGGAAATTTGATACATAAAGAAGATTGCTTGCATTTTCTCTGAACAATTTGATACAACAACCAGGAATAAAGATTGAATTAAGTAGATTAAAGAAAGGAGGAGGTACAAGCAAAATGCTATCAACTCAATGCCATTCAGCACAGAGATAGTTCTAAACGAAAGTGTGTTCAATGTACTGGAACATTTCACTGGTAAATCCAGGATTTTCAAAAGAAGACATAACCAGTGTGGTTGAGGATCACAAGGGGCACATTTCAAGTGACCAAGAGATTACAGAAAGTGACTCCAGGTGTAAGTATGTCCCCACAATAGAGTTGGACCCAAAAGAGGGCCCAAGTCAGCCAGAATCATAACTACAATTATAGGAAATAATTTAGGGGCCCAAATTACTTTTTCTGCAGGGGGTGGGCATCTTTTGTAGTTACACCACTGCAACCTTAGCTGAGAATGTGTAACCCTCAATTATTCATTGTTGCCCAAGTATGCCCAACAACTAATTCTCTGTCATGGCTTTTGCCCATTAGAAATTCCATTCATTTTGTGTACTATGTAGGATATATTATTCACAAATGATTTATGTTATGCTAAAATAAAAACTGTTTCCTGTAATTTTTATGTGTAAAATAATGTTATTCAACACTAACGTTTAAGAACAGTGGCACACACATATATATGACATAAAATTGTTATATGACTTTGAATTACAAGGTTTTTCTTTTGAATAATTGTTACAAAAGTAACTGTGAAATGAATTGTAATCTATATAAGATTGTATGCAAGTAATGCATATTTTTTAACCTATGCCATCCAACATTTCTCAAACTCCACACAAAACTCTTCAATATAAGTTTAGTTAAACATTTGATATCAGAAAACATTACCAGAACCTAAAGCAGGAAAATAACTTTTTTGGTGATGTTCATTAATACTATTTTAATGTCTATATTTACTATTTTGTTATTTTTTTTATCAACATTTATTATTTGAATAACTAGAAATAATATATTGTTTTTCTAACCAGATTATAACCAGAAATGAATCTTCACTGTTAATAACAGTATAATTTCACCTGTTTTAGTTGTAAAAGTCCTTGCAGACAACAGTGTTGTATGTACAGCTGAGATTCCTTGAGAATGATAGTCAGTGGTTGGTACAAATGAATGTGGTAGAGCAATCTGTACAGTCTTTCACTAAATCCCATATCCGAGTTATACTGAACTTTCACTCCTAAGTGATAATATGAACTTAGAAAGACTACCAGATAAAAACAGTGGGGAATATAGGACTGATAATACATTTTCAATAAGGTAAAAATAGTGGGGGACTATATGTATTGATAACACATCCTCAGTAAGATAACAACAGTGGGAACTATAGCATTTATAACACATTGTCAGTAAGATAACAATAGTGGGAATTATAGCATTGATAACTCATTGTCAGTAAGATACAAATAGTGGGGACTATAGGATTGATAACGCATTGTCAGTAAGATAACAATAGTGGGGACTATATGTACTGAAAACACATCATCAGTAAGATAACAATAGTGGGGACTATATGTACTGATAACATATCATCAGTAAGATAACAATAGTGGGGACTATATGTACTGAAAACACATCATCAGTAAGTTAAAAGTAGTGGGGACTATAGCATTTATAACACATTGTCAGTAAGATAACAATAGTGGGAATTATAGCACTGATAATACATTGTCAGTAAGTTAAAAATAGTGGGGACTACATGTACTGATAACACATCACCAGCAAGGTAACAATAGTGGGGACTATATGTATTGATAACATATCATCAGTAAGATAACAATAGTGGGGACTATATGTACTGAAAACACATCATCAGTAAGATAACAATAGTGGGGACTATATGTACTGATAACATATCATCAGTAAGATAACAATAGTGGGGACTATATGTACTGAAAACACATCATCAGTAAGTTAAAAGTAGTGGGGACTACATGTACTGATAACACATCACCAGCAAGGTAACAATAGTGGGGACTATATGTATTGATAACATATCATCAGTAAGGTAACAATAGTGGGGACTATATGTACTGATAACATATCATCAGTAAGATAACAATAGTGGGGACTATATGTACTGAAAACACATCATCAGTAAGATAACAATAGTGGGGACAATATGTACTGATAACACCTCATCAGTAAGATAACAATAGTGGGAATTATAGCATTGATAACTCATTGTCAGTAAGATGACAATAGTGAGGACTATAGCATTAATAATACTGTTGCGTCAGCGAGTCACATGACCACGTGACGCAATGTTTCTAGAACTATCATG